CTTGGCTATGATCTTATTCCCATGTATCGAATTTTATTTGGTATAAGCTGTATCACTGTTCCGATTGGAGCTTTGCTCTGCATCGTTTACCTCATTACTTTTATTTTTCGAGCGAAAAAAGTATTCAATGTTAAGAGTCACGCACTTTTATTGAGTTGCTTAGCTCAAATACTGCTTGGTATTCTTCAAGGACCAATAAGAATGTACTACTATTATAATCATGGATGTTTACCTCTGCCTGGTGCTCCATTATGTGTACTCACCGTCTATCTTGATTATATTCCAACACAAATCAATAATTTTCTCGTCGCACAACTTTCAATTGAACGTTTTTTGCTTGTCGTCAAACCGTTTATTTTTCATCGAGTTCGTGGTCAGAAATATTCATATGCCATCATTTTTCATTATATTGGTCTTTTCGTGGCTATTACGTTTCCTTGCATTTACTATCCAACTATCATGCAGAATGGAGCATCAACAATTGATCTCGACGATCCTTCGCAAACACCGACTTGTGATCTTTGGTATGCACGTGATATCTATGAGACATTTGATTTACTTATTACATTTACGCCTTATTTTCTCGTTTTATTCACCCATCTACTTCTCATTACCTTTCTTTTATATCGAAAACTTGTCATAGCTGATCGACAAAGGAGACAAGCTGGTTCGCGAAAATATCGACGTCTTCTCTTTTCTCTTAATCTGTTTCTCATCTGGTTTCTTTTGACATGGTCACCTTGGGTTCTCTATGATTTTTTTCAATCTGTTTTAAACTTCACCTATTCTGTTTATATTGACGCTATCACAACATTTATCGTTTACTTAAACTACACTTTTAGTTCTGCTATCGTTCTGATCACCTTCCAAGACATGTATCAATTTTGTCTTGACAATTTTTGCTCTCGATGGGGATTTTTTCAGCGACAACATCGTGTTGTACCGGTCTTTACCGTTGCTCGTGGCCAAACAATTGGTCTTACTCGAAGAGTGGGTGCCATTCAGACAGTTGATCCAAATTCCACTGTTCAATATGTAGCAAGAAATCTTCGTCGTACTGCTGTTTGACAGTACGGAAACAAAGTATATATTACAAAAACTAAATATCTTTAGTATTTTTCTTCAATATTTTCAAAAATAAACGATCAATTCATAAATCATTCCATTGAGTTCGAGTCTTCAAAATACATTATAGATTGAGTTTACTGCATTACTTCGATCTGAATACGATTTCCTTGAACATTCAAAATAGAGATATCATCATACAAAAAAACAGTAAAATTAAAATATCTATTTTCAATAGCTACTTAAAACCTCATAATAAATGAAAACTTAACTAAATAGAATTTAGTTTCATATTATTTGTATAATTTTAATATAATTAGAGAAAGACAAAGAAGAAATCAGTATAACATGACAAGGTGTGTGTAATTGAGAGTGTAGATCTGAACAATGGTCAAGAGAAGGTATACCCACAATCGTAACCATCCCCCGAACCTATTTATACCCTCACACGCATATGCACACCCACACCCACCCTCGAGACTAAAACAAAAACGTTCCAATAGAATAAAGTGGAAGTATGTTTCTAAGTAATTAATATTAAAAAAACGGTAGTCTATATGAATATAATACATATTTGAAATATCTTAGAAGAAGAAATAATTTATAATTAAAGAACGAGACATAGTCAAATGTTTTAATAATCAGAAAATTATTTTGGTTTCTGAATTATTTTGAAGTATTTTCCCAAGACTTTCTTTTCCATCATTACCAATTGGATTGTATCCAAGATTCAATTCGGTAAGTGTCTGTATGAAATAATCAATAGATAATCGAATAAGAAGTTATAAGGTAAATAAGATAAGATTACTGTATTTTCTTGTAGAGCATCAGCAAGATATAGCGCTCCGCTGAAACCTATTTGATTTTCGTAGAGGTCTAGTTTGAGGAGTGTCTATATGAAATCTTGTGTAAGTAACAGAATGAGAAGACTATAGAAGAAAAAAATGATACTTTATTTTGTCGTAAAGCATTAGCAAGATATTGTGCCCCGTAATTATTGACTCGATTCCATTGAAGGTCTAATGTGATAAGTGTCTAGATAAATTATTGAGCATGATATAATGGTAAGGTTAGAAGGAGAGATTACATTACTTTATTTTCTTGAAGAGCATCAGCAAGATGTTTTACTCCGTCGTCACCAATCTCATTGAATCCGAGGTGTATTGTTTTAAGTGTCTATATGAGATAGTAAATGAATGTAATATGACGAACTTAATAGAAGAAAGTATAATATTACATTGCTTTCTCGTAGGGCATGAGCAAGATACTGTACGCCGTAACCGCATATTTTGTTAGATTTGAGACTCAACGTGCTGAGCATCTATGCGATACGGTGAATGAAAATAGAGCATGAGAAGATTGACTTAAGCCAAGTGTAATGTTACCTTATTTTTTTTGTAGAGCATTAGCAAGATGTCGTAGTCCTGAGTTACCAATACGATTAGCAGAGAGATCTATTTCGATGAGTGTCTATATGAAATAATGACAAGATAATAATATGAGAGAATTAGAAATGCGTGCAATTTTACTTCGTTATATTCAAGAACATCAGCAAAATATTTTGCTCCTTGATCACCAATTTGATTGTATCCGAAATTCAATATGGTGAGTATCTGTGTTATACAGTGTATATATAATACGATGGGAAAATTCGAGAAAAAGTAATGTTACTTTGTTTTCCTGTAAACTGTTAGCAAGATATTGTGCACCATGTTCGTGAATATCATTATTTGTGAAGTTCATTATGCTGAGCGTCTACGTAAAATAGTAAGTAAATTATAACATGACAAGAAGTATTTTATTACTTTGTTTTTTTTGTAGAGTATTAGCAAAATGTTGTATTCCTTGATCATTAATTTGATTGCGAGAGATGTCTATTGAGGTGAATGTCTGTCAGAGATAGTCCATAAATAATAGTATGAGAAAGTATAATGTTACTTTATTATGTTGTAGAGCATTAGCAAGAAGTTGTACTTGTTGTGGGGCGATTTGATTGTTTTCGAGATTCAGTATAGTGGGTATCTATATAAAATAATAAGAATGTTTAAAATGATCGATATTGAGGGTGTGGGTGTACGTGGTTTTTGATGACGATGATGAACGATCGATAAAACTCCTGATAGGCATATCCATAGACTAATCTAAAGCCGTACATATGTACAGAATCAAAAGTTCACCGTGACCCAGACACATACTTACACTCACAAATACATCTTATGCACATTCTCACGATAATTTTTCTTCATGCTGAATGTTCCTATTCTGAAAATTTACCCATCCGTATTTACTGCGTTTAGAGAAGAAAACATTCGAATATATTATCAAACATGTAAAAATTGTTATAATGAATGCAAAAAGACTATGATACTTTTCGAGGACTATCACGCGTGTGTATTAGAATTTGAAAAAAGAAAATGATACGTTTACTGTAGGTCAAATGAGATTTTCTGATTGTTAGCTCATGTTTTATTGAAAAAAGAGGAAACTTTTCGATTACTGTTGAAGACTGAGTCATTCTTTCTCACTTAGTATTAGTATTGTTAGAATGAATATTATTTTGAATATCATAATAATCGGATAGTGAGATAAAACAAAGAGGTTTACCTCATATTGATAATAACTGTCGACGATTGCATTGAATCGTACACAAACATTGTACATTGAACAAAGAATATTGAGATGATTCAAATGATCAAGAATCCGATAGAAAAGTTCGACCGGTAGTGTAAGAAGAGATGGTATCATGTTATCAGACATCAATGAAATCTGTTGAGTTAAATATTGTCTTTAAATATATATTCGTTATAGAGTATGTATAGGTGAAGATATTTGTCTATAAGTGAAGTAATATTTGTCGTATATCGTATTTTCGGTCCTACTTATACAATCATTAGCCTAAAGAAAGAAATACGAATAAATAATGTCATCGATAAAATATGAAAGCATGTCATAATAATCGCTTTTGTTTACCTTTTATTTGTTACACTATATAATATGAATAGGAATGAAAGAAAAAGTTATTTTTTTTTAGTTCGTCTCGATAAGATTTCGAATAAAGTTCAAAGAGTAGTCACTCATTTATACTAATGTATCGTAGAAAAGCTGAAAGAAAAAATACTGAAGAACAGAAAATATTCAAAAAAATAATGGGTTCCGTAAATATCGACTCTAACCCTCTATAGTTTGTTGTTGACTTTCTCATTATCCTATTAGTTCGAAATTATAACCAGTAATAACGATGATGAGTTATAACTAACATTAAAAACTGAAAGTCTATTATAAGAACTACAGTTCTTTCATCTTCATTAGATGAAAATCAACCGCCATCATCAGATATTTCATTTATTCAATCACAAAATAGAATCATTCTCTTATATAACGTATAGATAAAAGAAAATTCTTCTTCAATGAATTTCCAATCAATTTATTCATGCAGTACAAAGAAAAGAACTTTAGTTTAACTTCAATTCACTACATGATCTAATTCTTAAATATTTTACACTTTAGTTAAAATCCAATGTTGAGATTTACTGGTAAAATAATCAACAATACCAATATTTGATGTACCATTCGTAGTCATTACTTTCCACCACGCTGTTTGTGGTACAATACGAAATATATCATTACCTTTTGCAGAAAAAGCCCATCTTTGATTAGCATTATCTAACCAATTATATGTTTGAACGTGTCCTAATGATGCCGACACATTGTACGTACCAAGAACAAAATTTTGAGTACTTTGTAATGAGAAACGATAGGTTCCATCACCAAGCCATGTTATATTCCATTTTTGATTTGTTTTATTACATTCATCATTGTAAAGTTGAACAATACTATTAATACCAATTTGAGAAGCACCAAGACATTTATCTGGTTGTAACTGAGGTGAAAGACGATAAACACCATCAACAACAACACCCGTCATTAGTTCCTGCATTTCTAAAAATGCAGGTTTTGCTAGATACATCCAATCTAAAGGTAAACCAGCACCTCTATTGTTTTTTATAATATTCTTGAAGCCAACTATAACGATCAGTAAAACCCCAAGTAAGTAATGCTTCACATTTAGGATAAAAATAAATCGCATATTCTAACATAGCACGATAGACGATAGCTTGTTTGTAGGGATCTGCACGATCTATCAAATAACCACCATTCGTTGGAATAGTTACATCTAATTCTGTTACTGAAATATCAAGTTGATTATTAATAAATTGTGGAGCACTTTGATAATGTCCATCATCGCGAACGATTGATCTTGAAAAATCGATATGCCATTGTAAACCGATACCATGAATGGTAGCCCCTTGTGATCGTAACCAATTTACTAAATTAAGTGTTCGAGTTGCTTTTAATCCAATACTTTCAACACCATAATCGTTATAATAGAGTTTTACGTTCGGATCAGCTGCTTGAGCAAATTGAAAAGCAAATTTAAGAAAATCTGGACCTAATTTTCGCATCCAAAAGCTATCACGTAAATTTAATGGATTGGTAGTATTAGTATCATTGATTGCTTATATATATAACTTGTCTTCTTCCTATTGTAAGTTTTGATGTATTTTAAAAAAAATTAAATTGAAAATAATGTTCTTTCGGAATTGTTATGCAATAACACTAAAGCCTAAACAAATAATTATTAAATATTTTTATATAATAATATTAGTATATGTTTATTAATGATACTAAATTATTTAATATGATGTATTATATTATTATTAGCACATATTATTCTACTTAAATTATAATGAATAAATTCTAGTCAAACAATTTATTAGATAAATTTAGTAACGGGAATAAATTTAGAAAATATGTCATTCGGAATAATGGCAATATTATTTTTAAATGTCTTTCTTATTATTATTCTAGCAATATTTAGTATATTATTAATATTAAATATTCATGATGCACATCAACTATGTGAACGTTTTCGTCATCACTATTTATAACATTTGTTATGTATTGAGGGTGTGGGCGTGCGTATTAGTTTTGACATAAACCCACACCACCCATCTCCAAAAAATTTTACTTTTATGTTTTTCTAAAAAGATGAGGATAATTGTGAGTAGATAGATTGAATGTAACTGCAGATTTGAGTGATGATACAACCAATCAAAGGCAATAGGACAAATAGTTTTATATATAATTGTTAAATACTAGAAGATGTATATGCATCGATTTTCTTTATTTAAAATCTTTTTTTTTGAAAACAAAAAATATTGATGAAAAGCAAAGAAATTATTTTCTCTCTTTTCCTTTACATAGCCGTTGGACGAGCTACTTCATGATAGATGAAACATTGATTTTGTCCAGGTTTACGTTCAAAACGAGCAAAACCATTCTCACCCCAACCTGTACCCCAAGAATTTTTTACACGCCAAAATGGAATACCTTGTGCATCAGTACCCCAACCTGTCAAAAGTACTGCATGATTAACATGTGGAGGACAGGGACCTTGGTAGACACCACCACCATAACCACCCATAAAATCAGCATTGATAGCAATAGCAATGGGACCTTTTGACACCAGACGCATGAGAAGATCATCATTAATTGTATCCCATGCATCATGATAAGTTTCTTTACTTTCAAAATAATGCGAAGCATCCATACGTTGAGTCCATCGATCATTACACGCTTGAGAATAAAAATTAGTATCGAATAGGCCTTGGTATGGATATCGATTTTCAGTAGCAAGAGCAGTTTTAGGTGATCGAATCACATAATTCAATGAATCATCAAAATTTGATGCCCAACATCCACCATTATTGGGCATTGAACAATCAATCAGTTGTTGTTCAGAGAGAGGAACAGCATCCCGTTGATGTTTGATTGCATAAGCACTTTCTAAAGCTCCTGCAACTCTGAATAAAAAATGTATTTCATGTTTAAAAATAAATCAGTTCAAATTGATAATACTTACGCAAAGAATGTACATGTATTACATCCACCTTGATTTTTTGCATCAGTCACTGCTCGATAGGTCAATGATGTCCAATCAAAATTCTTTGGATAACCATTTGGTAAAGTTTCACCTGCTGGATACCAAAATTGCGAATCTCGACAATAAGCTCCATCGTAATATTCAAAACCAAATACTTGACAACATTTTTGTGGCATTGTACTATCTGAACAACAGTGACTATTCCAAGATTGACATCCTTGTGGAACGTTAGCTGAATGTACACCTCGACACCAACCACCATCCCAAGATGCAAAACCAAGAGCTGCACAACATTCAGTCGGATTCCATGATGAACGGCAACATTGAGAATCATGATGTACACAATTGTGTGGAACAATACCTCCAATACTGCTACTTGAACTACATTGGCGTCGATTCCATGAACCTAAACCAAGTGCTAAGCAGCAACTGTTTGGATCGGCTGATGAGATGCAACAATTGCTCGAGTCACGTGTACAGCCAAGAGGAACTGAAGCGTCTGTTGACAAAGATCGACTCATGGGTGATGATATAGGCGTTGGTGGTGGAATAGGAGCAAATGCTAATTGTGGTGTAAGAACGTTTGTTTCAAATTCAAGTTTACTTAAATCTGAAAATTGATTGATGCCTTTTGTGTATGTTTGATTAGATTGAGCATTATGTTGTCTAACTTCATGCAAATTGACAAGAAAATATGATTTACGTAGTTGTGTTTCGGCTTCGCTTGCATATTTTTTGCCATATCGATGAATATAATCCATCCATTGTTGATCTTCATTATCAACACCATTGATCAATG